ACCCCATTACTAAGGCATGTATGTGTTTTTTCCTACTTCCTCATTCCTCATGGCCCCCAGCTTTCACTGTTCCTTACACTCAATCATCAACAGCTCTGCAAGAAGCCTGCATACCTGACAGATCAAGCTCTGCAGCATTTCTACCCTCACTACTCGACTTTTTGGCACTTCATTTGTGTACTTGTGCATGTAAAAGTCCAACAAAGAATGTAAAGTCTATAGTCCGTAGTTAATCAGAAAAACAACCCATCTTCTCTTCCGTCAACTTTCCTGGGCATCTTGGCATTTCTCCGTCTCGTAAGCCTCAATCAGACCTCCAATCTCCACACAGAGACACAGTTCTCACCCAGCTTAACAGGAATGACTTCTTGTCAGTGTTTAAAGGTGTCCTGTCCAAGTCTGCGGATATGTATAATCCCAACTTTACTCAGTCTCTCACTCTTACATCTATTCTTCTATGTGACAATTGTGGCTTAGTTTGATCTGTTTTAATAACAAAATGTCCATCAAAGTTTTACATTCAGTTAAGTGTTACTGTGATGTACTCATGAGTTTTTGTTATTAATGAAATGTTTTAAAATGCTCATATATTAATATCATGTGAAAAAAATATCTGCATTGCCTAACCTACCAAAGTGTAACTTTGCAATCCTTCAAAAAAGAGAGTAATAAATCTCAGAGACTTTGACTCTAAGTGGAAAAATAAACAATGCTATGCTAAGCTATGCCATGCTATGCTAAGCTAAGCTAAGCTATGGTATGCTATGCTTGTTTTTAAACTCTTATACTTCCATGCATTCTGCTTGGATAAGCCAAAACCTAAATTTAAAACACACTATATCTATGACTGGACGTTTACAAACATAAACCAAAAAGTCCCACCTCCTCTGACAGAGTGCCTTGTATATAACCAAGTATAAAGCATTCCTGAGCATGAGAACTGTTAGGCTACAATCACCTTCAAGCTTCCCACAGTCATGGCCAAGGAACCCTTGCTTGCAGTCTTTCCAAGTTTAAAATGTGAATGCTCCTTAATAAGGGTATGCAATTAGATTGCACACTATTAGGTTAACAGCTAACCCTCATACTAGTTTAACAGTCAGAGTCTGGTCCATTCAATCAAAACTGGCTTTTGTTCACGTTGTCAAGATAGTGGAGACACTTTTTTTTATATAACAATAATTTATTTTTCAGAGTTCTTTTAATGAACCAGTTCTCTGCACCAAAACCCCCACATTCCAGGGGCTCGGTGACCCCAGGTTTCTTCCAAAATCCTATAAACATGCATTTTAATTAATGACAGTGCAGGCTGCCTCACAGTAAGAAGATTCTAGGCCAGGGATTCTGGGCCAGGTTACCAGCAGGTACCAGGGGTCCCCTGGCTTACAATCCCCTGGCTTACAATAAGCCAGGGGATTTTAAAAATCTAAAGGTATGACTTTCATTTTCAGTCAAAAATACAAACACTCCTCCTCCTATTAACCTGATAACACAATTCTGTAATGGGGACAGATATCGCAATGCATGACACTAGGGCTCCATCTCTTATGGTTTCGATTATAAACTGCCCACAGTCTTTTTTGTTTGTTGGTTGGTTTTAAATAATTTGTAAAGAAAGGAAAATGTTTCTGTCACTATTTGGAAGCATTATGGGGTTTAGTCAAGCAATTGCAAAGGTGTGTGCACTGTTTATCTCAGCAAAGTTGTGGTTGAAAAATGTAACACACAACCCTCTGATGTGTGCGGTGGCAGCAAGTCTTCAGCTACAGTCTAGGAAGAACATAAGTGTTCCTGCCACTAAAGGAATTTAAATGAACAATAATTAACTAGGATGTCAGTAAGCAAACATTCAGAGCGTGGCTACGGTTGCACACAGTCTATATACAACCATGTTTTCATTTTCTACAACAAAACACTGAGAAACCACACCGATTTTACCAGATCTCATCTTTCCCTCTTGCAACATTCAGGTGTTTGCACTAGAAGATGTTGAAACATAGACTGTATTTGCTGGCACTGTAAAAATACATAAAACTGGTTTAACTCGCTATCAATTCTTACAACTTCTAATAGTAGGTTAATTAAAACTACAATACGTGACGTCTTAAGCAGCTTAGTCTTTAAGAATCTTTTCCTTTTAGCCGTTGCCAAACATTTGATGATGTTTATGCTTTAATAATGAAGTGCTGACAGTTTCCCATTTCTCTCTATTGCAACTCCTCCGTTTAACTGCTTTTACACAACACGAAGCTTCAAGTGTTACTACTTAAATTTTGTACTAACATTTTTTAACAGCAGCTAAACAAGTAGGTTTAAAAAGTACATTCAGCATCCAGGCAGACATCAATGTCTTTTCATTTTGACCAAGTATAAAATCATAGCAAACCTGAAACTTAGTGACAGCTATTTGAATGATTTGAATAATTTATTCAGTTTTTTGAAATAAAATTACATTACAATAAGGTACCTGAAGTATTTTACTGTGATCAGGAAATATGTAAAGGTTCCCTGCACACAACACCGTGTTCTGATATGACTACAGGGACATACAAAGCCAATAGGCAACAGATGTCTGACTGCTTTGGCGATAAATTGTAGTAAATCCATCACCTGAGATTGAGTTAGAATTTGTCTGCATTTTTTTTCTAGTTGCTGTAATGCGTCTAAAACCCATTTATTATAACGATTACATATCAATTACAAGGTTGGCAGGATAGATGAAAGCTGAACATATATCACTTGTGGTTGTAAAATGCCTGCAGGTGGTGTACATGGGCCCCGGGGTGCAAGGAAACTGAAAAAAATGATATTCTAAAAGAAGAGCTTGACATGCATTTAGCTAGTCAGTGTATTCCTTAAATATGCTGATGCAGCATAATCAAAAACTGGATGAATTCACCCATCTTTTTTCTTTGCTGTTGTTTTTTTTGTGTGTGTGCCAGGAAGGATGTTCTGTTATGTATTTGTATCTAGATATGGACACATAAATACATATTTATATTTAATGATTTATGACTGCTTTTCTTTTTAAATGCTGATAAAAACTAGTAATCCTACTTGCATGGTACTTTAAATTTGAGAATTCATCCATATATGTTTCCATTTTTCTGCATTAATTTTGATGCAATTGAAACATATTTACTGGGTCTTTTATAAAATTTTGACTTTGGGCATATTCTAATGTTTTCTGCACACCTTCTCAAAGTATGCAGTTTACTTTTGTTGATTACCAAATGACCAAAGTGGTAACAAATGTGGTTCTGACACGTTACTTTTGTTGATTATCAAATGACCAAAGTGGTAACAATTGTGGTTCTGACACGTATATTCTCAGGCAATGCTCTATTTTCCAGAGAAGCAATGCTTTTTTTGGTTTGCAGCAAACCCACATGTGCACTTTACAAAAGATTTCAAGGAAAATCTGTAAAGTAAATCTTAGAAAAGTTTCACGATTCTCACACTTCCTCTGTAAGTTCTTCACAAGTATACATACATATGAGTGTCTACATGCTGTGACTCTCAAGCAGAGTTTGTAATTTAAGTAGTTCTCCCAAAAATGTCAGGTCAGGTGTCAGGTTAGCCTGGGGTCATTTGACACCTCAATTAATCTCCTCGGCTGTCTCAGGAGTATTCATTCTCAGACAAACAAAAACAAATTGAATGTCTGACTATTTACAGGTCTTATTAACCTGATACAATACAGCCAATCTTTTCAAAATCAGGATGGTAAAATCAGGACAACCAATAGGTTATTTTCATAAGCATTTCTGGTAGAAAAAGAGTATTGGTGAGTTAATGACTACAGACATGTGGCCCACCCATGATACAACCAGGATTACAAGGAATGCAGTGGGTATTTGACACTAGCATTAATCACAGATAGACAAGTTTGACCCTGAAGACCTTCTGTTATTGTTCACAAAAAGAAACTGACAAATAGTATTTAAAATTGATGTTGCAGTTTTTAACCCATAACATGGGAAAAAACAGACAGGCATTCATGAAAAGGTAAGTAGCTTTTAATAGCATTATAACCTTATGCAAGACACACAATAATCAACAATGGCTATTTGCAAATCTATTTAGGTTTACACTGCATGCATCAGCTCACCTTTACAGCTAGCAAATGATGCTTCACATGTATACCGAGTGTATTTTACAGTCAATCAAAAATATTTGCATCAGGAAATAGAAAAAAAATCAAATACAAATTCCTCAGGAATCCCAATCTAAACATTATCTCACGCATCATGACGTCTGGGCACGAAAGTCTGGAAATGTGCCACGAAAGCATATCAGACTGTTTGGCCACTGGGCAGAGAGCAACCTTACAATCCCCCGGCCAAATCCTGTGACATCATGTCATAAATGCAAATCTATGAGGACATCGGCGATTAAATGCAAACTTGTATTTCAAATGTAGAACTGGTCACTGCCTTGCTAGTGTGCCACTACTTCTTGCAGTCATCGAACGAAATGTTATAGAAACACACTGTTCTAAGTTTTGTGGTTCTTTTGCAACACATGCCAACAAACAAACCTTAATCAAGTTCCCACACGTCAGACAACGCACGCACACAACATCGTGCTTTAACACAGTATGAAGGCCTATAATGAAGAAAGGCATCCTTCCTTCTACCTGTAGGTGTCTGCAGGGATTCACTCTGCTAAGAAAAATGCCCAATTCTTCATCTTAGTAATTGTGAGAAACCTACTCTTACTAATATTATTAGATCAAAAGAAGTCATCATCCCACAAAAATCTGACCAATCATCGTCTATGAAAATAACTGAGTCAGACCTAGAAGGAGTGAAAGAAAACACACAAAAGTAGCAAAGTACAAAAACAATGAGGCCATGGTCAGTTTCCCTTCTAGTTTCACTGTGTCTCATACCGTCATCACATATCTGCACAGAAAGCCCCTCTAGCCGTCTGCAAACTTTGAACGGGAATAACACACAAAAACAAGCTTCACACACACACTCGCACATGCCTCTTACCTCCCAACAGGCAGACTGCAGTGGACAGCTGAACCATACTCTTTGGTTTAAGTCCTCTCCTCACTCCACAGGGCTTTGAACTCAACACAGTGAGTATGTAAAAATACACAGACTGGACGGGCCACACACACTGCAGTAACACTGTGGTCTGAAACTCTTGTGCCTTCAGTGGGAAGCACTCCCAGCTTTAGGTCCTCATTGTACTGTTGATCATCCAGATCCTTTAAATGGCTGCTGCGCTTTATTGCTGTTGACAATCTGAAACAGGAAACAAAAAGCAGTCGAGCATTAGACATTAAGATTTAAAACCCAAATTGCTAAATGTTTTCACATGTTTACCTGTAGTCATAAAAAGGTTTGAACGAACGGCTTCGGTTCCTACATGTAACTTCAGTTATCTTTATGTTTCAGTCATAATGTTACTCTTTTATTCCACAATGTCACATTTTATTTCCTGATTTCCCTTTTTACTTCACACACCCCTCGTATAACCAGAAAGCAAGTTCAACAGCTGCTGCTTGGGTTAGCTTGGTGACACCTGACATCTAGTGCAACAAGAAAATTCGCTGCTGCTCTTACAAACAGTACACATACACATGACCTAATATCTTATATTTACTTAGCTTAACAAAGGCTGTACATAATATCCAACTAGCTAAACAAGTTTATGGTAAAGAGACAGTGCAAACAGCAGTAGCAACAATTGGTTTTAAGGAGCGACGAGGCGAAAATGTTAAAAAGAAATCTCTATAATCAGCCAATTAATCACACTGTAACACTGCACACAAGAGCTCTGAACCTACAAGAAAACTGACACTGAGTAGATCTGTTTTCCCACAAGACAATGATCCAAGACAAGCCAATCAAAGCAGTTCAGTCAGAGGTCCCAACCTCAGTCCAGTATTTGACTTCCAAGAAGAATCATAAAAAACAAGTGTCTCTGCAGGGAAAGCTTTTTTAGAGCAATGACAGGTTGAACTTTAAAAATAACCAAGAGTGCCCAAAACATGTGCTTTGTTCAAAGCTACATATTAAATACTGGGATGTGTTCCAGGGCAAATGAAAGATCTGACCAACATAACTGGGAAGTTGTTTCATAGCATCTCATGGCCATCCATTCAAAAGATATTGAGATATTTTAGTCTAGACCAAAGTCCTGGACCAAGTGACTTTTACTGCCGGTTGTAAAGCTTTCCTAGCATGGCCATTTAGTCAAATGCTTGCACTGGGTTTAGGTGCTTTAAAAGAGTCCAACATAATGAAGTCAAAAAGTAGTGTTTTTGTGCTGCGTCACCCCCGATCATCTCACAATGTGAAAGTTAAGCTTCTTGTAGAGATTACAAAACTAGAATCCTGTGTGGCAAGGATGACTAACCCACACGGCCAGCTGCTCTGTGTTTGTGGTACTTAGTCAAGTTGTTGAACATGGAACCAAATGTAATGTCTGAGTAGATATTGCTTAACATGGTGATTCTCAAATGTTTGTCAAAGTTGTGTATATATATATATAAAGTTATGACCGTGTTTTTACATTTCTATTTGAGTCCTTTGCATAAACTAATTTCCAAACACACAGGCAAAATCTATGAGTTCAAAAATAAATAAATAAATAAATTAAACTGTCAAAGCAAAGCCTGCTGTGTTGGCAAAGATTCCAAGTGGTAGAGGATTATTACAGTGTGACACATCAAATAACACAGAGAAAAGTCAGTAGACACTATTTCAAACCTTCCTGACTTTTGGACTCATGTGCTCAACGGGCCTCGGCCAAACTGTATCAAGTGACAGAAGAACCTGGCTAACACCATCAAGCAAGCAGAAATGGCCCTTAAACATCAAACATCCATTTTGAGAGAGATTTCCAGAGAACATGGTGTCTCAATGAGAGCTCTAAACCCATTTGTTCTGATAAAATGATGGAGGGAAATTATATGATAAGTGTAGTTTGTTTCAAAGCAGATAAAAGCTCACGCTATACCAGAGACTCTCTTGCAAAAACCAAATTACAGCCATCATTCCAGGTCCAAATGCTCATTATAAGCCTTTCTGTGACAATAATGAAGATTTTTTTTTCAATTTTCTTCAAACAGACGAGTGTGCTGCATAATTTTTGTTTGCCCTTTGGTGTGCTTTAAAGTAATAATTTTCAGAAACATTCAGTTTCTTATACAACCTAACACAATGTCAACCAAACTCAAGCTAAAATTTACACACACTCACACATTTACAAAAAGGCACCAGCACCTATGCTGTTATTAAAACCTCAGAAATACTCAGAAAATGAGCACAAACTGCAAACAGCCATCATCAATGAAGACCAATCTTCTCATTAGCTGTTCCAATGAATGACAAGGTTTTTCAAGAACTCCTGCTGCAATAGCAAATGTGCATGTCTGATAATATTATATTAAATTCACTATATATAAATAACAGGGCTGGTGCCAGATACCAGTTTGACACACCGGTTGAGCAAGTGCCGTTTTTGCCTTACAGCTCCAATGTAGTGACTCAGATTTAAGTCCCACCTGCCTCCCATTGCTGCTTTGCTTTCGTTGACAGAAAGAAAAAAAAAATATCAGAAAATGAGAAACATTTCAGGCCAAGTTTGGTAAGCCTCTAGCCAATATCTTTTTTCGGTGGCTAAACACACAGCTTCTAATTTGTAAAATCACTAATACATTTTCTCAGTATACTTTAGTGTGTCTATTTGAGACCCGAGAAAGGCATTAAAAGAACTTATGCTTGACTTATACATAGTTTGAGTGTCTTTTTCTAATCTTTTCTTCTCTCACCTTCCTCCTCATCCTTATCTTTCACAGCCTGATGATAAAACTTTTGTTATATCCATTGCAGCATTCCTCAGTCTCACATCACACCTCAGTGACTTCACTGTTGGTAAAATATGTCACCAGCATTTAGAGGATTGTGACATTGAGCCCATCCGTTGCTTCAAATATCAACAAATGACTTCAACCAACCGCTGGAAAAATAGTCAGTGCGTGGCACAAAAGATAAGTCACCTTTTACTCACACACCTCTCCTGTTTGTTGCAGTGTTGATATGTATCTGACGCAGATGTTTGTGCAGTTTAGCTGCAGGCTACTTGTGCTTTGAGGGCCCAAGCTCCCCTCTGAGATCGATAAGGCTCCTCTATCCTTCACAATCTAGGCTGTGACAACTGCTGCAAGGTTTTGAGATGTCGCCACTGATTGTATAACTCAGGCTTGCAAAACTGTCAATACGCCCATACTGTCACACTCGCATGTAAGATTTTCTTTAAAAAAAAAAAAAAAAAAAAAGAAGACTAAGAACAGAAGAGAAAGAAAAAAAGCAGCGCTTAGCATTAAATACCCTGCGCACCGAAACCGAAAGTAATGCCGGACAGCTCAAGGCACAGCTGCACACACGAGCACATGCAGGAACACCCACAGAGAGAGAGAGACAGGGAGAGACAGTAAAACAATCGCACCTTTATGTCCTAAAATGAAAGCTCAAGAGATTAAAATCTGCATCAAGACCACGCAAATGGCACTTTTCTCTCTGTGAGTGCGCTCTTTGGCATAACCATTAATAGCCCTTAAAACCCTACAACAGCCACACACCTATTTAACTCTAAATGCAAATCAAAACGAATTTTACATTTTAATCTTAAAATAAAGTTTCAGTCCTCAGAGATGAAAATCTGCCAGAAAGTCAGCGTTTTCACTTTTCACAAATGACCTCACTCCCAGACTATCAATTTGGTCCTCACCACGTAGGCTACAATATTACGCAGGTACACACATACCTCCAAAGTCCCTTTGCCTCGCACTCCCAGGGTGAGAAATCCTTTTCAAATGCGACGGTTGTAGTGAACCTTTGTTAAATGCGAAGAAAAGCTGAGCGATAGAAATCCGGTCTTAATCTTGTCAGTGAAGGAAGTCCACTACTGGATTTGTCCATCCACGGAGTCCTGGTGCGCTGTCTCAGTGTGCCGCCAAGTGCGCCACAGGCTGCCGCTCCTTCGGTCAATTCCAGTCACCACATAAATAGCTGCCAAACCTTCAAAATAAAAGCACGCCATCCGGCATAGACCCTCCCCTTGAAACGAAAAAGAGTCTATACGGACATTTTAATCATTTCAGTGGCTATAAAACTGACAACTGAGCGAAAAAATACTGACCAAATATGACTCATATTTGTTTATGACAAGACTAAAGGTTTGCCATCTCATCCAAGAAACACAGACTCTTCTCCTTATTGAAACTGATATAGCATCACTGTATTAGAAGGTTTATTTATGTAACAATTACCTTACTCGTATTTTAACAATTTTGACACCCCATCATTAACTTTAATCTTCATACCTCCAGTAACTGATTAATTTAATAAAATTAATAATACAATTAATATTTATTAAATATGAATTTTACTATCAGATTTTACACAGTTTTGTTTCCAAACAGCCTGATCTATTCTGCTGCTAAACCTGTGAATTGATGTTACACTGGAGAGAGATTGATATATCATTAGCTATTTGCACATATAATGCTATCGGCATTCATAACAACCAACTAATGAACATTTAAAAGAAAGATGAGAGAAACACCCTTCAACAGCGATATGAGTGTTGATTTTTGCATAACTTGTCCACCAGAGGGCACTTTATGAGTTCCATGTTGGCAATATTTGCTGGGAACAAAACAGCTGATCCAAACAGGTTACATGAGTAAATGACGACTTCAACTCAGTTTTATTTAAATAGCATCAAATCACAACAACAGCTGCCTAAAGGTGCTTTAATATTGAAAGATAAAGACCCTATAATAACATACCCTAAAATTGATTTGAGACAAAAACTGCATTCTTATATTATCTTATATTAATATTGTTCATAAAGAACTACACATAAAAAGCATGTTTTGTATGTCTGGAAGAAAAATAAAGCAATAAATCGGCTGACATATCAGATTTTTATATCACCAAGTATTGGTATAGGTTTAAAATTGTGTATTTTTAATGAGAGCCAACTTCCTTTCAAATGAGTCCTTTAATTCTTCCTTAGCAACATAGAGCGACACTAAGGGAGAAACATAGTTTGGAAGTTTCAGCCGGAATTGCAGGTGGCTTTCCCACTCTGGCTTGACACATGAAAAGAGAAAACAGATGATACCTGGACTCATGCTAATTTTCCACTGGTCTGCAGTGAATATGTTTTCATTCGCCTTCTTCACTGCTCTTACAGCTCCGTTCACAAACTGTTCCTCAGCTTTTCCAAGGTTGTCTGGTGCACTCACCTTTGTGAACTAAAGTCCTGCTGGGAAGACAAACACTGAAATGCAATCAGAGGGGAACCAGACTGGTTATGTGACACAATAAATCATGTCTGCTCAGGTTTTTAAAGACCAACTTGTATTAGAAGACTGGAGATCTCAAAGACTTCTTCGACTCTAAGATTCAAATTACCCATATTTATCTCTATTCTTTTTTGAGGGCACATTAATGAATAAACAGTCTGCTATTCATAACTGCTTATCTTGAGACTCTGTGGAGGGTAAAGCGGCTGCCTGAGCTTGCACGATGTGGTATATTTCACTTTAGATGGGAGCCAGATCATACCAAAACACTCAGGACCAAATCCTCACCACAACCACATGTCTCTCTCCAGAATGGCTGCTGAGCTCAGATGGGAAAAGCCCACGGGAGTGCAGGACATAGCCACGGACATTGTTTTTGAGGTAATATTTCCATTAGGTCATATGAGATCACATTTGCCAGAGTTTTCTAACCATTACCAAACCAAGATTAGGTACTCATCAAAAAATGGAAATGGTCAAGAAAAAGAACCGACCACTGCACAGAATAAGTCATAATTTAGAAAATTTAAAAGACTTGCTGTTTGGTTCACAGAGTTTGACTCAACAAAATGATTTCTGACACCATAGCAAACATTCAGAATGTACCATAAATTCATTCATTTTCATTTACAGTATAGACTGTAAGCATCTCTTATAACCAGTGTCTCACAGTAAGATGTGATTTCTTCTGTTCTGTATGAAATAACGAGAGTGCAATGTTAATCCCTGCAATTACTGTCATCAAAACATTCATAGTTTACATCAGAAAATACATAGAGAGTGCATTGTGCAGCATTTTGGCTGCCAGCAAACTATAACACCCTGGGAGCTCTTGTCATTCTGATGGCACTGTTTCAATCGTTAACTTAAATATTTACTTTTAAGAGATAAATCAAGAGCAAGTTATGCTCAATACATTTTGCAGCGCTGTTTAAATGAGTTATGTTCAGGACTAGAACCTCTGTTTTGGAAATGCTACGGACCAGTCAGGAAACAGACTACACAGAGAGAACAGAAATACATGTTTGGTAATTGATAAGGTGCATTCAAAAATGATAAATTAGGAGAAAGTGTTGGTCAAAGATTAAACAAATGTAAGGCAGAAAGAGTAAAAAATGTAAAAATCACAGTTTTATCACTAGCAATCCAAGCATTTATGTTCAGGACAAGTCAGGACAGTGGCCAGATTTATTAATTTCCCACATGCACTTCCAATATGTTCCTGCTAAATTATGGTAAGTTTCTTATTTATTTATGTTCAAGCACACATTTGATGTAATGTTGTGAATTAGATGTTGTTTAATCGACACACAAAAGTGGATAAATACCTAATGAGGTGCTTATTATTTGTTGTACGACTTCATTAGACTGTAACAACAGCACATTAAAATATTAATTCTTTATGACTCTTCACTGCTGAATTTTAAATCTTTGCTAAAAGGCTCCATGTTCCAGAATAAATACCAGAAACATGATGTGTCTGACTTCAGTGAAAGTGCCGAAGCTATTCAAGGTCAAATATTAAACGATACACCGAGCCAATGCCCTCAAGACAAGATGAGTCACATGATTTTCATTCTCATGATCTGAGCATTCAGATGATGCCATCAGGCCCAGTGAATGAGGAGATTACCTTGACATAAATGAAAGTGGTATTGAGAGTACATTTTGATGATGAAGAGTCTTATTCCTTTGATGCTAGCACAGCACTTATTGTTGGAGCTTTGTTTTACTTAAAAATGTGCTGTGTAACAGCTTTCTGTTAAATAAAGCATCAAATGCAACATCAAAAAACAAAACAAACAAAAAAAAAAAAACAGAAAATAAAAACATCAAAAAGTACAACCATAGAAATGCTTCACCTTTGCCAAAAACAGTGACTCAGCTTTGGTAGAAGTGCTTGGTTGCCACCAGTAAAGAAGTCTGTGGTTGTACTCGGAATTGTTATTGTGTAGAGTTCTGCATTTCTATTGTTCACTGTTGCCTAAATGCCAACTCAACTGAAGATTGGTTAACAATAATTTTGAGGTCTGCAAATGTAAAATACAATGTAATATGAAATATTTCCCACTTGGAGCGTGAGACTTTAAACCATGCCAATAAAACAGAGTGAGGAGTCTACAGGTATGGACACAATGCAGAGAAGTCTCTCCATCTCTCACTTCTTCCTCCTCTCTCCTCCACATCTCAGTGATACCGAGAAAGGCTGAGAAGTCCAACTCATAACACTTTGGTCACCAGGTCATTTGTATATTCTGGGCCAGTTAAAAGTGTAACCAGCAGCATTTTCATTCCACGCATTGGAGTGAGGACAGAGGATAACCAGCGGTGGGTTTTTTTTACTGGATTTTAACTCATAGAGAAGAAATGTCTCCGTGCACAACGTAAGCCATGCTCAATATTTTTAATCACCATTTATGGAAAATGGATTTGTGTCAAATTTCAGAAAACCAGAATTTTATGTTTGGCTTATTATCTTTTCCCATTCTGGTTTTATGTTTTGCACAAATGCTGCATATTTATGACTCGTAAACGCCATAAACTTAGATAAGCAGTTCCTGCACAAGCTCCAAGCTCCAAGAATGCATTTTCAAAAATAACAATTTCTTTAAAAATCATTGGTGGTGAATTACAGAACAACACAAACATATTTAAAGTCATGTAAGTTTCCACTTCGCATTAGTATCTCACAAGAAAAATGATGGACTTTCATTATTAATAATGCAACTGAATTCTGTCTTTTGTTGCACTTCTTTTGTTTGTTAAATTTCAAACGTCTGGTGTGTAGTAGAGACCTAGCATTAAAAATGTGCATACAGCAATCTGAGTTACAAAGCTGATGTCACCTGATTAATTCACAGGTAAAAAGGCTAAATTATAAAATTCTCTCAAAGTAATCAGCTACTTGCAGACACCAAATGCCTTCTAAATTCAATTCAATTCAATTCAATTCAATT